TTTCCAGCCGAAAATTTAGATGATCAGCTGGAAGCTGTAAGCAGGAATATACTCAATTTTCCCAGTATGATAAGCAACATAACCTCAATAAAAAAAAGTACCAACTATCAAAGTCTGAAATTAATCTCTGTACAAATTTAATACCGTCGAATTAAGGCTGTTAGTCTTGAAGACTATTGTGCTCAAAATACATTCATACTTGAACAAACAAACATTGTTTTTTTTTTTTCAATACTTTATCAACAATATTTTTTCGTAACGTAATAACACGATTTAAAATATATTTTAAGTCTTACGCAATAACTATAGAATAAATGATACGTCAGTCAGTGAATTGCGATGTATTAAATATAATATAAAATTGTATAACTTATTTATTACAATTCATATGTGTAATATATCATTTTTCAAAATGTATACAAAAAAACTACCCAAATTAGGTTGCCATAGATGAAATTATTAAAAAAAAAAGTTGTCAAAAGACTTTAGATATTTGACCACGTCTAGATAAGTCCAATATAAGTATTATTAACAAGTTTCAAATCTCTACGTGTATTTATTACCAAATTGCAGCAAAAAAACTCACAAAAATTAAAGTTCCTTAAAAGCTCAAAATGACTTAAAGGTTTGACGATGATACCATAAGAAATTAAATCAAAATGTCAAGAAAAAAATTTATTTTGTGATTTTTTGGTTAAATCGTTTTTTCTGGTAGAAAACGTCGTCCATGTTTTTATAAAGAAATGAAATCATGAAATTGTACGTTTTCTTATGTTGTTTTCCACTTAAGTGCTTTTATTTAAAAAATGGCGTCGAAAATGAAATTACTCATTAAAGTGCCATCTAGATAACTTAAGCTTTCAGAAAAATTGCTACAAATAGAAATCAGAGTAGGTATACAAGGAAAAATCGTGTCCACAGTCTAGATCAAAAAACAAAGAAGAAAAAGTAAACAACTTAGTAAAACCGCTCGCTACGCTAAAAATCTAAAGAAAAGAAATAAACAGCGTTGTAAAACCAATAGATCTCTAATTGGTGAGCCACTGATATGGGTGATAATTTGGGGAGGTAGGATAAAAAAGGAAATCTAATGTATTAACATGTGTACACTACGATCAAACAGTGTTATCAAAAAACGATTCTGAATGGAGTTCGTTTATACATGATTTAAAAGGGAACAATATTTAAAATTTTTGTCGAAATTTTATTTTAAAATTCTTATAAAAATAAAACTCTACAATATAATTCATTTTATTTGGCCACGAAATACGATTTATAATGAATCTCCAGTTAAATTTTTAAACAATTGAATTGACAATGGCATTTACTACGAAAGTAAAACACAAATATTTTTTGTTTTCAAAACCGTCAAATTTACGTAATAGGGTTTAAAAATCGTATTAAGACACGTAAATAAATTTGTAAGTATATAAATATTTATTATATACGAACACAGATGTATACAAATCAAATACGAACACGTAAGTATATGAATCGTACTACACAAACACGTCTGTATTTAAGTGATTTATAATATTCATTTCTTGTATAAATAGCCGTATGCCGTACGAAATTGCTTTGATGATGAGACAAGAATAGGTAACGAATAATTGTTCGTACGCGGTTTATTACGCATATGTGTGAGCGTCCTTTTAAAAATAGAGCAAGTAAAGTTTGTCTGTTAATTGCCGTTTTCATTTTAGTATATCGACTGTCGCAAACATTAAAATATTTTTATTTTACGCGAGATTTATTGGAGTGAACATGATTCGTGTTACTCATTCAAAAATTAATACGGTTTATGTTGCATTTATAATATTACATTTTGTCACAATTGAAGATGTGCATTGCGGTAAGTGTGTATTGCTTAACGCCTCACGATACGACCAAACCGCGGAAACAGAACTGAAACATATTATTAACTAGTTATTTATTTTAACTGAATACAAATTTAAAAAAATTTACAAATATTAATCTTTTTTATCTATTTGAATCAAATTTGTCACCAAGTAAACTTAAACATTATTTATGTGAACATTTTATGAATAAATATTTTAGACTTAATACTTAATTTTTAGTTAGCGATTCAGAAGAACCGGAAGAATTTGAAAGTTTTACTGGATCACCAAAACACGGTACTCCTTTGAATAATAAATAACAACGAGAAAAATAGTTATAAAAAATGTATACTTACTGAAAAAAATATGTATATTTTCAATTATTTGAATAATCCCACCCACTATTAATGTGTCAACAAATCGCTGTGTCCCTTAAAATGTTTCTTGTATTCGGTGCATTAATTTATAGTACTGTAATGAAACATATAAGTCATTTAATTGTTTCTTATTTGAAATTGAATACAATGATTTATTAATTATAAATTGTATACTATTCAGTATAGGCTCCTCCCGAAATACTAAGTGTTGAACTATGTACAGTTGTATGTATTATTATGACGTTATAATTGTGTAGTTAAATAATTAATATTATAATGAATTTCCTGTTGCTATACAAACTTAGGTATTACATACGATCCTAAATGTGTATTATATAATGCATTATGTGTATCAAAAAATTGTTCTATAATTTATTACGTATTGTATTCGTAATTTAAATAAAAATAATCAATAATGCATAAAGAGTAATAGGAAGGAGACACCGTTATATTTTTGGGAAAGAACATCAACTACGTTTTTTTAAGAATTAATCTAAGCTTATCAGAGTTTAGAATTTAGGACTCGACATTTACTTTTGTCAGACTTTTGTTTTTCAAATTGTATTCTTTAAGTGTTTACAGTAGTATAATTATAATGGATAATTGTGATGTTCATATTATAATGCCCTAAAGAAATAAGGAATTGTTTTGTGAATAATGAAATTTTTATTTCATATTTTTATATAAATAATGAGCAACCTCGCATTGTATGTAGAACCGTGTAATATTATGAAAAAAAAATTTATTTTATGTATACATGCGTAATCCTATATGTAAAATGGTATATTGTGTTGTCAAAACAATTTTACTAACATAGATTATTGAGGCAAAACCTTGAACATTCAACATGAAGTTATTTCACAAAGTATTTAATTTATTAAAGGCAACAATAATTACGTTCTTACCACTCCAAAAAATATAAATCCGGTTTCTAATGATAACTATGCGTGTATTTTATTTATGCCATAACTAAACAAAAAATTACATAAATTATTTTGATTAATTTGACTTAATGGACAAAAATATATCTTTCAGATGCCTGGATTTGAGAACCAATTTATTTCCACTGTAGTATATTATCGAGAAATGTACTCCAACCTTTTGAAATTTAGATAAACCGTTGTAAACTATCTATATTCTGTTTACCATAATTTATAATTATTTTACACAAAAAAGATATACCAAAAAACAAAGCATTTCTTTTAATCTTTTATATACATCAAGAATGGCTAATTGGTCGATCTCTGAAATTTTAACTGTCGTTTTGTTAGAGTTTATTTATATAAAAATAGTAGAGAAATCACAATTGTTGAGAATTTCGATTACTAGATAATTTTGATATCATTAAAACAGTTCGACAGTTTTAATGCTGTCAATGAATTATTGGGTTATTTTATTCATAAAATTACATTAGTAAAGTCTTAAAATAATATATGTTGAAAAATGTATTTAATTATACATTTTACTTTTTATAATACTATTTTGTACCACAGGGCTTGGAAGATCTTTAGAAGGATGTAAGTTTTTTTTTTTTGTTAATATACTTTCGTTATAAATTAATGTTGACGTATCTTATTTAGAATACAGTTCTTGGTGGTAATATAGTTTGCCATTTCAGTTGATAATTAATTTACAATTTTTTGACCTTTTCATACTGTGTAATGTTTTATTTTTATGTTATTTTTTTTTTTTTATATAATTCATAATTTTTGTTTTTGATTAATTATTTTAAATTATTATAATTTTATTCGTATAGTATTTTACGTCCAAACAGCACTAANGGTAAAACAATACACATACACTTTTTTTAATGTCAGTACTGGTGTTTTATACTCTTTATACTCTTTTTAATGGAAAATATATAATAGTAGTAGAATCGGCAACATTTAACCCATGTGGTATATAGTAGTCTTCACATATATAACGAAAACACGTGGAACAAGAGTCCCTGTGTTGGTGGGTCAAGATTTTATTCTTTGTGCTACCCCGTGGTTAGCGTAGCCCGTAATAACGTCGAGGGGAAACGTACGCTTACAGACGAAGTAGAGTGATTGATTACTCAGGTTGCTTCTACGTGATGACCTCGGTGATACCGTCGTTGATACTGTTGACTGATGGCGACTTCGGTGCTCCATGGTGCTACCGCGATCTGTGGTGATGTACAAGCTAAGGAATAGATATAGAACGATTAAAGAATAATATGGAGGATTTTAATTTATTCTCGATATTATTAATTTTCTTATGGGTGTATCACACCTGTAATTTGAGCTTAAAACTATAGTTGCCGAACAACAGAATTATTTATAATATATTATATTGTATTGTAATACCGTAATACGGTATTGTATACCATGACGCCGACCGTTACGCGTCATTTTTTCGTATTTTATTATTTAAAAAAAAAATATTTCTATTTCTATGTATTTTATATAACGGACAAATCTAAAAATTAATAAATGAATTATAGAAAAAAATTAGATAAAATTAATTTTATGCACATTGTGGAAAGGTCAAAAACATTTTATGAAATTTATGCCCAAATCATGAAACGGGCAACTTTATTAAGTGGATGCGTCATATAAATACATAATAAATATATTGATATAAAAATATTACATCGCCGATATAATTAAACATTTATTTCTATATTTATCTACAGATAGGTAGTAATGATATTTAGTTAAAATCTAATACAATAATTTACGAATATTTATTTCTACTTTGTATATTTTTTTAGTTGGTGACGAGCCACGTGAGTTCAATTTGCGTAAAATATGATAAAAAGAATATTTTTATATGTAGGGTAATTTATTAGTAATTCAATATCCATATCCTGGTATGAATGAAATAAATTATGGTATAATGTGTAAAAAGAAAATTTGTATAAATAAAATATATTTTTAAAAGTATTACCTTTAACCGGAAATTGTTTTCTAGAACATTTATACAATATTAATCTTTTTTATCCATTTGAATTGAATTTGGAACCAAGTAGACCTAAACATTATTTATGTGAACATTTTATGAATAATTATTTTAGACTTAATATTTAATTTTTAGTTAGCGATTCAGAAGAACCGGAAGAATTTGAAACTTCGACTGGATCATCTAAAAACGGTATTCCTTTGAATAATAAATAATAACGAGAAAAATAGTTATAGAAAATGTGGATATACTGAAAAAAAATATATTTTTTCAATTATTTGAATAATCCCACCTATTATTAATGTGTAAACAAATAGCAGTGTCCCTTAAAATGTTCCTTGTATTCGGTGCATTAACTTATGGTACTGTAATGAAACATATAAGTTATTTAATTGTTTCTTATTTGAAATTGATTACAATGATTTATTAATTATAAATTGTATACTATTCAGTATAGGCTCTTCCCGGAATACTAAGTGTTGAACTATGTACAGTTGTATATATTATTATGACGTTATAATTGTGTAGTTAAATAATTAATATTAAAATGAGAATCCTGATGCCATAAAAACATAGGTTTTAGATATGCGATCCTAAATGTGGAATCTAAAATGCGAATTGTGTATCGGATGATTTTTCTGAAATTTAATGCCTATCTTGATTTTAAAGAGAATAATTTGGGTTTTTCTACAATTTGAAATAAAAATGGAATCCAATGCCATTTTACCAGACTTTGACAAAAATTTACGATCTCAAACCTGCGGACGATCCAATTGTGCTTGGACCACATTTTTTAGCAATGCTTTAAATAATTTGACGTCAAAATTATACATTTTAATTTACTATTATTATTTTTATGAACCCCGTTCTTAGTGAAGAAATATTAATACATTCCGAGATAACGAGTGTATTAAGCTTGGTTTATCCCACAATCTACAAAAGTTCGGCCGAATGGATTGTTTATGTGAAGTTCAACAAGATATTCTCGAATATTTTGAGTGTTCGCGATGTTTAGGAAGTTTTCTATAATCATACCGAAAATGCATTTCCGAAAAGATAATAAACGTTTTATAATGCGAATTGTATATCAAGTGATTTTACTAAGAAATATTAAAGGGATGCATTTGAAATTCCCACGACCAGAATCTGAGTACCTAATTCAACTTCTATACTTAGGTTCAATATTGAAACTATTTAGTGGCATCTACCTTCTCTAAGTTTGAGATTGAAATCAAAATTACCGAAAATTAAAAACGAAAACAATTTTTAGACAGTTTTTAATAATACAGAACAAATATTTTCGATATCTAAAAGTAGAGTATAAAATCGAATATTTACTGATTTTCGATAGTATAATTGTTTGTAAATTTATAATGATAATAACGATATTGATTTAAATCGAGAAAATTGACGTATTTTATAGACCTCCGTGAGACACTGTATTTATACTACATTGAAACTAACCAATTTTTTTGTTCTCTACCAATTTTTTTTATATGCGTTTTTATGTGGAACGAGCAGTAAATTTTACAATTCATCAAAGTTTGATTTAAACGTTTTTAAAAAAAAAAATAATAGTACATTACACACTTTTTTATTGTTTGAAACATAATGCATTTTATCCACATACTCTGCCCGACTGGGTGTGGCAGAAAAAAATGTTTAACTCGTGTTTGAAATCGAATCCTCCCGGTCAACAACATGTACATACTATCCATACACTACGACAAATAATATTTAATAATTTAAGATTTATTATTTCA